AGCTAACACTAATACACTGGACACTTAAAAATGGTTAAGATGGTAAACTTTATGCTATGTTTTTTGCCACACACACACAACGTCAAGTAATTTGAGAAATAAAAAGGGGCCACTTGAAATAGGTATACTCAAGAAGGACCCCAAATTCATAAATTTGGGACTTTGGCTAAAGAACATTTCTATTGTCCTTAGGTAAACATTAGCTCTACTTTAAAAAGCCCACAACTCCTCTAATGATGAATGTAGCAAATGTCCATTGTGCAAACTACATACATTATAACCACGCTTTGATTTAAGAAATATTCTTCTATACTGTGAGGAATGATTAACAAACTGCAAGACCTTCTCACGGTAACTATAAAAGATTCTGTCACTTATCACTAATACAGTTATAAGCGACAGAATCTCTAAAAATATTTATTTATTTATTTATTTATTAACATATTTATTGGGGTATACTTGCTTTACAATGGTGTTAGTTTCTGCTTTATAACAATGTGAATCAGTTATACATATACATATGTCCCCATATCTCTTCCCTCTTAAAAATATTTTTTATGATTAGTATCTTTTTATTTCTTCTATACCAGCCTCAGTTTTTAAAATTATTTAAAACACACACACACACACACACACACACACACACACTCACTCACTCACAAGGATTTTCTAATGGTTCCATTTCTTCAACACGGGGGCTAGCGATGTTTTTTTATTTTTTTTAGTATTTTTCAAAGCAGAAAAAGGGGCTGTTTTCTTTTTCTTTGGAACGAGCTCCTGCCAGATTTTGCACACTGCAGTTCTTTGGCAATGTGATGAGAACACATGCCCACCCACAGACACTAATTCTGCTCCTCACTCTTCCCAAGCAGCCTCTATGACACATGCTGTCTATACTCCATTTGATGGAATTCAAGAGGCCCAGTCAAACAGCAGGCCCCGCGGGGCCAGAGCAATGGCAAGCAACCCATCTCTTCCACTGGATGGGCACAAGGAATGAGTGTTTAAAAGAAAACCACAAAAAAGCCAAACCCAACTTGTACGTCCCCAATCTGAAAATCTTTACAACTCTATGAATTAACACTGAAAATGAAAAGTCATCTCTTGGGCTGAAATCTGGAAAGAGATCGTATCTGGCTGTGGTTCCTTGCACAGAGCTCTGTGAAGACAGTGCATCAAACTCCCCGAGCTGCACTCAAGAGGGTGCTCAAGGAAGGCAGCCTGTCCTGCAAGCCAGCAGCTTTCTAAGAGGGCTGAAGTACCACCCTGGCACCAAGGCATTTGCTTGCTCTTTGGTGATTATCAGTCATGAAGAAATGCTGGTGATTAAGAATCCAACTATGTATGGGCGTGGCTTCCATTAACTGTCCCTCATCTGTCCTAAGACAATCTGGGCATAGATGACAGTGCAAACAGGTTGTCAGCAAACTTATACCTGGAAGAATGCTCAGGACTAATAAGAGTCCATACTGGTTTGATAAGAGAGTGGTCATTCACCCCATTCACATGTCCTTAAGAGTGGGGGTTGATGCCCTAAGACTGTTATGTACCTGTCTCTGGCTTTTCTGAGCCACATGAGAAAGTTGATATTCCCAGATAACGATGTAAGATTTACCTATAAGTGCTATTAATCCCACCCACTGTGTAGGCAGAGTGGCCAAAAACCCCGGACGTGGGGAGGACAGTGTAACAGCAGAACAGTGGGCAAAGGACAACAGGCAACGGACAGGTACAGCTCTCCCCCGGGGGCTACAGTTACAACCATGCATCCATAAATCATCCATCAAGTACAGAAGAACAGACTGCAAACTCACTGAACAGGTCTCTCTAAATACAAATAAGTATTTTTAAATGTTGATAGATAACGTATAGTATTTTGAAAGGATTACTGAATTCATTATAGCTTTGAGTCATTAGAATATAATTTTAGCCGATGCTAAAAAGGGGAGGGGTCTTCAAAACTCAAAGATTGACAAAGACTGTCCTTGGTGTTTACTAATCTGTGCCACTAAAATATCCAGGACGCCCTAAGCTTTCAGAATTCATCCTCCCTGACTGCCACTCCCCGCAAGGAGGAAGGGGAAAAAAATCCTTTGTCCCAGGTTGTCGGCCTACTTGGCTCAGAAGACATGGCCACTGAAACTATCAAATGAATTTTTGAATACGGCAGTTCTTTCTTTGATATGAGAGCCATCCAAGAAATGATAGATTCTGAAGAACCAGAAGGGAAGAGCTAAAAGTTGCTTCTACAAAGAACAATCAGTGGCTCCAGCTAATCCATGAACGAAAAACCCAGGAGGAAACTATTGCCTATACATAACGATGGATCCCCACTGAAGAGGGAATGAAAGCAAGGACAGGGCTGGGCCTGGATCACAGCATTTTAAAATTTGACACTACCCAGCACAGAGCTCTGAACAACGGCAGCATCTCACTCAATATCTATCAATCACTTCCAAGTTGAATGATGGGAGGCCCACAGTACCAACTGCGCTCTGTATCCCCTCTCCCTCAAAAGGAAAAGAATCTGAAAACCACGTGGTCACTCTGGACTGAGGCTCTTGGGGCTTAACATCCAAGGGGCTCCCAAAGGCTGCCACAACCCCAGGGGTGACTACAGAGATCGATATGCCCTGAGGGTGAAAAGTAACCAAAGCCGAAAGAAATCACACTGCCCTGGAATAATGCGGACAGGACCTGAGTTAGTCTCAACCGCACCAATCACAGGAGACCAAGGCCTTTTCACAGACATAGAAAAACACCAATAAATCAAGAACTTTAAATGAAATGTTTTTATATACCTGCCTGTAATACTTTCTGTAGGCCTCAAGGAAAAAAAGATATCAAATCCTAAGATTTTAGGGGTAAGACAGGAATAAAGACACAGACCTACTAGAGAATGGACTTGATGATATGGGGAGGGGGAAGGGTAAACTGTGACAAAGCGAGAGAGAGGCATGGACATATATACACTACCAAACGTAAGGTAGATAGCTAGTGGGAAGCAGCCACATAGCACAGGGAGATCAGCTCGGTGCTTTGTGACCACCAAGAGGGGTGTGGGAGGGAGGGAGACGCAAGAGGGAGGAGATATGGGGACATATGTATATGTATAGCTGATTCACTTTGTTATACAGCAGAAACTAACACACCATTGTAAAGCGATTACACTCCAATAAAGATGTAAAAAAAATAAGAAATAAAAAAAAGATGTTTAAAAAAAAACCTCAGATTTTAGCGAAATCAGGGCAAATTAGCTCATCTCCCCTTAATTCACATTATTTTTCTGATGACTTTTGACAAAATGAGCCCTGAGCTGAGTGTGGCATCCACCAAAGCTCCAAGAGACCCCTGTTCATTGTAAGATGGCAAAATTCAGGCTTTAATTCAATCTACATTTCCAAAGTAGCTTTTCTTCCGTGACTTAAAAAAAAAAAAATGTTAATGAGAAGCAACGAAGAGGACTCTCACTTTGAATCTGAACTATTTTTTTAATATCGCCAAGTGCTATTATTAAATATTCACTATATATGCGTGTGTACACACACACATATAAAAATAAGCAGTACAGATGTGGGCAGGAAAATTCTTAGCAAAACTCCCACATATTTCAAATACTGTTCTTTCACATTATTGCCCTCTACCATAATTAGCATGTTACAGCCTAACAGGTGGCTTTCATTTATAGAATGCAAAATTAATGAAATTTGGAGATGGTCCTGTCTCCAAAAACAAATTGGCCATTCTAAAAATAGTGTACCCCTTAATCTACAAAACAAACAGAAACACACCAAACAAACTCATTTCTTGCTGGCTCACCATATCATCCGAACTGCTGAATGCATTTTAATAAGTAAATTTAATACATTTACTGACAGTTTAGAATACACATACCTCAAGGAAAACAAGTCATTATTATGGGCTTTACAAGAAAGGGGAAGAGGAAAAAAAGACTGCCTGTTTTTCCAGCTTGGTAACCTCAGATCTGTTTAATGCTCTCTGAGTGATAACAAAATTTACCACCACAGACAGGGCTGCTCCACAAATGCTAAATCTTAGGCAAATTTGTGGGCAATTGTGTTACAGGTCCTGACCCAGCCATTTTGGACAGACAGACCAGAAAAGCATAAATAGCACTGCTATAAACTAACTATAGCATCTGTCCCTAACAAGTAGGATACAAAAAGTATTTTTAAAAAACATGAGGGGACGCTGAATGGACTGTCAACACTTGGAGGAATGTTTAATACACTCAAATAAACAAGATATGTGCCTTAACTAGCCAGGCATTGTTTAAATTTAGTGAGTGAAGAGAGGGTCAGACAGGCGACACAGCCTCCCAATTATGCAGAACAATCCTTCAGATCATGTGAAAGCTATAATTAAATGTTGTTACCAAATCTCCACCACCCTTTCTCCCACCTAGAAAAAAGTTAATGCATGAATTCAGTATGAGCAAATTATGATTTGCAAAAAAATATTCACTTAGTAGGGGAATAAAGCTTTCTGGCATTAAGTCATCCATCTTGGAGGGGTAGGAAAAAGCACAATATTGAAAAAAAAACCAACATAATAAATAAAATAGTTACCATTAGACCACCTCCTTAGTTCATCTCTGCTTATTCATTTTTTTTTAAGTTTTAAGCTATCCCACTCCCCCCAAAAAGGTATACCACCTCTGCTGTTTCCTAGGCAGCATCTTTTAAACTCAGGGCTTAATAAAAGGGATGGGTTAACACCACTTCTATCTGAACAGCTAAGGAGAAATCTGTTTCCAGAAAGGAACATGAGTGGACAAGAGCTCTGTGTCAATCAAAAGACCAGTGGTTACCTATCTGTCCTCGCACGTGGGTGCACACATACACACACACGCGCTTCAGTTCTGCACAATTAGAATAATCTTTTCCCCTCCGTTAAGAAATGTTCAAAGCAAACACCAGAAAGGTTAGGCAGAGGAGAACCACAAGAAAATGAAGTTCATATAAACAGTAAGCACATACCTGGCGGGCGATGCCATTTCCTCTACATTGTAGAGCCCAAGTGCTGGGTATTAGCATTATTACTACTATAGAGCTTCCGAGAAAAATGGATCGGCTCTTTGCGGACCTGAGAGCCAGCTGGCTGCTTGAGAAGTGGTTTCCCCCATATATGATTCAGTCTCCTTGACAAATATACTGCATCGCACTGGATGAGTCATCTGAGGGTTAGTCCGCATTTTATAGGCCTGTTGTGTCATTACTCACATTCAACATCCTGCTTCTCAAAAGTGGAAGCTGGAAGTCTGACAGCTGACAGATGCTTTTTCCAATTAAAATGTTGTTTAAAAAAAATTCCTGTAAGTTATGATGATCAGTCATTGATGATACTGTGAAATGCACAGGGAGCAAATGGCACGGCTCAATACCCCAGATTACAGTCTATACAACCACAAGTTGTTTACCCACCCCCATCTCCAAATAATTTTGTTCAGAGTTGAGAGCAAGGACCCTCCCTCCTCTTTTAAACTATCAGTGAAATCAGCATGTTGGTTCTTATGTTGTAAGGTTACCTAGTTGCAGGAGCTTTGTTTAAAAAAAAAAAAAATACACATCAAAATTTTGTCCCTGGAATAATTCTGTTAGGTGGGATAGTGGCATTGGGTTTATAAAATGTCTACTTTTAAGAAAAAGTATGCTAGGGATGAAATGCTATAATATCTGGGATTTGTTATGAAATATTTTTGCCCCAAAAAGGGGAAGTTTAAAGAAATGTGACAAAATCTTGATAACTGTTGCATCTGTGCAGTGAGTATATGGGAACTGGCTATATTATTCCCTCTTCGTTGGAGTAGCTTCAACAGTTTTCACAACAAAATATTTTTAAAAATTAAAAAAAAAAATTCAGTCCTATGGGCTAATCGTACCGACACAAGGCAATTTTCTAGTTAGGTGAGAACTCACCATACGTGTGAATGGGGGCATCATTCACACAGGGCAACCAAGCGGCCCTGGGGGTGTGGGGGAGTGCCAGCTGGAAGGTACGATACACGTGTCCTGAGGCCACCATGAGGGTGCACCCACCCCCTGGACCAATCAATGCCTGGTGCCCTCTCCTTCCAAGACTGTCTGGTGGTTGTTCCACAGGCTTTCTTTGAGGACTTCACTCGTGAGCTCAATGTTGACATTACGAGGGATGGGTGACTCTTTCCAGCTTCCTTATATGGTTTTGGAAAGGTTCCATGAGAGAGTATACAAGTCCCATCCAAGTCCTCTCACACCAACAAACCTCACCGGGAGGTGGCAGGGCGTTTGCACGACTCGCTTTATGCTCAAATTGGATTAAACCACCTGAAGGAGGAAGGCAGCTTTGATTTTATGGCCAAGAGAAACCCCATATATGGAAGCTCCAATGTATGTTAAAGGAAATCACTGTTGAAACTAGATGTTTAAAAAGCCATCTGTGTCGGTAGGTACGTTCTCCAAGTGTGACAAGTCATCACAGGGCACTGGAAATACAGAGGTCCTATGAAAGCCTAAGGCCTCAGGACTGCTCCCTTTAGGGCTGACACGGAAGGAGAGGAGGAAGTGTCAGGTCGAGACTCCCACCTCAGCCCCCAGCCAATCAGCCTCAAAGGACTGGGCCAAGAGGGCTGCAAACTGCCTGCAAACAGCTGTGATGTCCTCACACCACATCAAGTGACCCTCACGAATCCAGACTGTTCAGGACTGTGTGGGCCGGAACTGAAGCCTTCCTTGGTTTTGACAGATTCTTTCCTCAATCGGACTGTAAGCTACAGGCTTATCAAAATGTCCCCTTGAAATTTAAAAATAACCTTCCACACACTTGCAAAGTATAACTGACCTTAATGCAACAGGTAGAAATGGGAGGAATTAATGAACTTCTAGCCTAATTTGAGTTTCTGTATTTAAGAAATAAATCCATACTTCATTAAAGAACTGTATAACTCATATTTTACTAATTAAAAATACAAGAGTAGGGACTTCCCTGGTGGTGCAGTGCTTAAGACTCTGTACTCCCAATGCAGCGGGGCCCCGGGTTCAATCCCTGGTCAGGGAGCTAGATCCCACATGCCACAACCAGGAGTTCGCATGCCACAACTAAGAAGACAGTGAGCCGCAACTAAGGAGGCTGCGAGCTGCAACTAAGACCTGGTGCAACCAAATAAATATTTTTTTTAAATGCAAGAGTAATAGCAATTATAATGTACATATGCACAGAGAAAAGGAATGAGAATATGGCAAATACGGTAAAATGTTAACAAATGGGGAATTGGATATAGAGGAGTCCTTCACACTATTCCTCACTTGCAGAAAAGTTGCAAGTTTCAAAATAAACACAGAAACACAAGAAAATACACAATCCCTGTTACAAAAACAAAGAAAAAAAAGATTTTTATGGATTTAATAGCCACCATAGTTTTGCTGCTGCTTCCCTCACTCATTTAAAAAAAATAAAAAATCTTAGACCATAAGGACATTTACCAAAATGTAAACGTTAGGAAAGCCTCTGGGTTAGGGTTTCTCAAAGGGTGTTCCTTGCAAACAATTTTATAAGAGGCTCCAAAACCAAAACAAAACCAAAACCCCCTGAACAAACATTTTGGGAAAACAACATACTCCATCCTTGAGAATGCCGTTTGTTTAGCGTTGCATTTCACAAGCTCATCTGGCCACAGCAACCCCTCACCCATTACCATCCCTATAAGCTGAAGAAAGCACTTTGGGAACTACTGCTGTAGGTAATGGGTTACGGAATGCTTTTTTTTCCTGATCTTTTACTCTAAGTTTTCTTCAGAACACGCCTCACTTATATAAGAACAAAAGACATGCAGACTTGGTTTCTGCCATTTTTGTAATGGAGATTTTTATTTGGCTGACTTGCACACTGATGGCCACCAGCAGTCTCCCCTGACCACACTACAATGGCCTCGCCACCATCAGTGCCAGTCAAGGACCCTTGCACCTGGGCACAGCAGGTTGACAGCTCACGCTGGTGTTGGTGTTTCTGTTAAGAGCGGGTAGGCCCTGGCTGAGGCCATCCAGAAGAGTTGCCCGGGCCCAGCTCCACCTGGCCAGCCTCAGAGCACTGGGTCTTGGAACGTGAAAATCAGCCTGGAGGTCTCTGGCTTCTGAATTCCCTAGGCCTTTAAATATTCATCTCCTAACACTGATCCTTGGGTGTTAAGAAGCAGAACTCCCTGGGAAGCACAGCAGAACACGGCTTCCGATTTCTTATAACTTGCTAAAGGACTCTTAGTTTTTTCATTCTTGCCATGTATTAATTTATACAAGAGTTTTCAGCAACTATCTCCTTGCATGTATTTTGCGGCGGG